TCTTCCCGTGAGCGGCTGCTTCCCGGTGCAGCCCTGGGCCTCTGGAACGCTTCCCGCCCTAGGGGCCCGGAGGCTCAGAGCCCAGGCCAGAGATCCAGCGGGGGCCGGGGCAGAGTCTGGGCAGCCCCTCCCACTCCCCAGCTGCTCCCCGGCACCTCTCCTGGCTCTGGGCTGCCCCTGGGAGGCAGAGACGTGGGGCTCACACAGCCCATGGGGGGCGAGGGGGGTGCCTCAGCCCTGGGGAGAAGGGGGGCAGGGATCGCGGTCTGGACTGGATCACAGGCCAGGAGCGACCTGGGGAAAGCGAACGGGGGGAAGGCCCTTGCGGGGACACGTCCTGAGCCCACGAGGGGAAGGATCCCAGGTCACAGACTAGGAGTCTGGGTTACTGCACAGGCGTTGGGTCCTGCCCCCAATCAGGGTGCCAGGCTGGGGGGGGGAGGGGGTTGGGGGGGACAGGGGACCCCCTACTGCGCCTCCATCTCCTCCGCCTCCTCGGACTCCTCGCCGTCGAAGTAACGCTCCTCCTCGTCCCGCGACACAATGTCCAGGTTGTCGAACTCCGGGTTCTCGTCCACCTCGCTGAGAGAAAATGAGTCCAGAGCTGTGACCTCAGGGACAGAACCCAGGTGTCCTGGCTCCCAGCCCCCCTGCTCTGACCCCTACACCCCACTCCCCTCTCAGAGCCAGGGACAGAACCCAGGTGTCCTGGCTCCCAGCGCCCCACCCGCCTGCTCTAATCACTAGACCTCTCTCCCTTCCAGAGCTGGGACAGATTGCCCCACCCCCGCCAGCCCCTCTTCTGCTGTCCCCCCCGGGGCAGTGACCCAGCGAGCGACGCCCAGCGCCCGCCCCCCTCACCTGTAATCGAAGTCACCGTCCTTGCCATCCAGGAAGCGCTGGTGCATGCGGCTGGTGAACTCCTCACGCAGGAAGGCCTTCTCCTCCGTGTCGGGGACCCAGGCGTCTGAGGCCGAGCTGGACTCCTCGCCTGGCAGGGAGAGAGGGGAAGGGCACGATCGGCAAGGAGGGGACGGATACCAGCCACAAAGACAGTAACGGGATGTCAGACCCCACTCCCCTCCCGGAGCTGGGGAGAGAACCCAGGAATCCCCCCC